GAATCATTCGATGAGCATCGAATAATCGAAAATTCGATAACGCTGAGTATTCGAGAAGGCGATGATCATCGAATTATGGAAAAGTCATTGTCCATGGCATATACGGGGTAACGCTAAAGTTCTATACACTGCGTCTACATCCCGTCTACAAAAAGCAGCAATTATTGTTTGATTGCTTTCAGCATATAGAGCCACTGCCCCATATGCCGTCCAAAAGAACTTTTTTGTTTGTTACAGTCTTCACATATGCTGGTTTTACTACAGGATGACCAGTTTCTTGAGCTTTTCAATGATGATCATGTATTGGGTTGTTTCAAAAGTTCTACCCGTTTTGAAGTTCAACTTTGATTTGCGCTAATTCGTTTTAGAAAAGACGGCTGCGAATGCAATAAAGTGTGTTGCACTCTCCGAACTTCTACTTTGAGAACCTCTACTTTGAAAAAGCATAACGTATATCAACTGACACTACTAAACAAGGTATATATGTTTGGATAGCTCCGTGCGTTAATCTGAATAGTATGCTTCTGTGCCGTAGCACTTGCTCGATTTCACTTATGGAGCGACGATTTGTACTAATAATCCTCTTAAAAATTCCATCAACCCATCGTCGTAGGAGTAGGCTTTTAGGTTCCAACTGCCACCAATGAACACTTTTTTAGCATAAACTGTATTCTTACTTTATTTAGAATGATATTCGAAAACGAAAGTAGAATGATATTCTGCATTCGACTACTATTCGAAAGTCGAATTTTCGAAAATTTCAATTTGAATAATATTCGATAGTCGAATATTCGGAAATTTCAGTTTTCGAATATTTTTCAGTATTCGAATATTCGTAAAAAATTTCGAGTTTCCCAAAGTATACTAAATATTCGACCTGCCGCGAATTGTATGTGTGCGAAGTTTGGGAGGCGTGCAAGTGTCACCCAGGTATCTAGCCGCCTGGTGCCGCCCGTTGTTGCAGCCCCACGCTTACTTTTCAACACTCATTTCGATGTTGTTCCTCCATTTATTCCACCTTCTGAGGATGAAGAAAAAGTTTACGGCAGAGGCTCAAGCGAAGCAAAAGGTGAAAAGACGTTCTTCCCAGTAGTAATATTGCACGAGATGAATTAACTTCAGGGCAGCTGGCTTGTATGATTTCTGCTGCACAAGCACTTGCTGAAACGAGACCTGAAATCGCTGAGCAGCTTGCGTTGCTTTTCGTTGTTGGTGAAGAAATTGACCAT